GGATTTAAAGCAGATGGAATTTTTTATTTTTAATACGAAAAGCGGGAATTAAAAAATTCTAAGGGAATCCCGAGGGATCCCGGTTGGAGCCTCCAGGGTCAAACGTGGGACTGGGACAGTCCTGGGCCAAAATTCCCAGGAATTCTGGCCTGTGCCCATTCCCCACCTCACCAGGAGACTCTGATAATTTAGGGAAATAAATACAGGGAATAAAATCCCAAAAATCACGGGAATTCCAACAATAATCATGTGGGGGGGAAAAGCATGGAATTCTGCAGGAAAACCCCGGAATTCTGTCAGAAAAACACAGGATTCTGAGGGGAAAACATGGAATTTTTAGGGTTGGGAGAGCATTTTCCAAGTCCAAGAGTGGTGCTGGAGGTCGGAGGTGGTGGCTCCCAGATTTTTGGAATTTTTCTTCAGGAAAAAAGCAGAATCCAAGATTTTGATTTGGAAACTCCCAGGAAAAAAAAAGGTGAAATCTCGAATCCGGTTGGGAAATACCTCTGGAATCCACACAGGAATGGCAAGAGCCGGAAAATCGCTGGGAAAAAGGGGAAAATTTCCCGATTCCAACCTGGAATCGTGCCCTAGGCAATCCCAAACCTCTTCCCTCGGGAAGGGCTCTGAGTCCAGCTGGGAATTCCGATCATTCCAGAAGGGAAGGGTCTAGCTGGGCCCGGATCCCAAAATTCAGGTTTCCACCACTCGGATCAGGGGCAGCGGCTTCGGGCCCGGGAGGCGTTTGCTGGGAAAAAGGGAAAAAAGAAGGGAAAAAAAAGAATTTTCAGGAGGTAAAAAAAAAAAACAGGGAAAAGGGTTTTGGGGTGATTGGATTCCCAAAAATTCCTGCAGGAGGGATTTGGAATCTGCTGGAGACGTGGAAAAATTAGGGGAGATTTCAATTACCCCCAAATGTGAAAGACATCCCAAAATTCCCAAAGTTGGTCCCTAAATCCAGAAGAGAATCCCAAAATCCAACAGTTCATCCCAAAATCCCAAAGAAAATCCCAAAATCCGTAAGAAAATTCCAAACTCCACAGGGCACTTCCAAAACTGCAGCCCCAAATTGAAAAAGTTCGTTGCCCAATCCAAGGAGAATCCCCAAATCCAGAAGAGATCCTGGCATTCCCGACCCAAATCCCGGAATTCCCGACCCTGATGCCAGAATTCCCGGAATTCCCGAGCACCTGCTGACGTATTCCGACTTGGAGCGTGCGCGGGCGCTGCTCCCGCCCCGGCTCACTTGTTTCTCGATCAGGTGCTCGATCCGGTCGTGCATCTCCAGATTCTGGTGAAAAAAATGGGATTTGGGATCGGGAAAGGGTTTTCCAAGCCTGGGAGCTGCCTTGGGATGGTCCTGCGGTGCCCGGAACAGGAATTTTTGGGATTTGGGGGAATTTGGAGTGTGGGAATGGACTGGGGAGTTCCTGAGTTATTTGGGAAGGTTTGTCCCAGGAAAAATGAGGATCAGGGGGAATTTCCCCTCTCAAAATCCTCAATCTCACTTTTGCCTTGGGAATTCCCAGGAATTCCCCAAATCCTGGTGGAAACGGTCCGGCTCCGATTGGGAATTCAGGTTTTCTCTGGGTTTTTTTTTTGGTCTTTTGAGATTTTCTAAGCCTTGATTCCCTCCCTTTTCCCACATTTTTCCCGCTTTTCCCCCATTCCCAGTTCCCCAAGCACCCCCACGAGGCGCCCAGCCCCAATCCCAACATTCCAAACAGGTCCAAGGTCGGATTGAGCCCCCGGAATTCCGGGCCCCACCTCTGCTTCCAGGTAGGAAACCCTTTCCTTCAGCTCCTGGATCGCCGCGTCCTTGGCATGGATCACGCTCTTGGAATTCTGCAGCTGCAACCACACATTCCCAAGGCATTGGCAATTTCCACCTTTTTTTCCGGGTTTTTCCTGGTTTTTCCCTTTTCCCCGCTGTTTTTTCCTGGATATTTTCCTGGTTTTGCCTGGATTTTTCCCATATTTTTTTCCTGTTTTTTCCTGGGTTTTTTTCCCAGTTTTTCCCAGATTTTTTCATGGTTTTTCCCAGTTTTTTTTCTTAGGTTTTCCCAGAATTTTCCTGGGTTTTCCTCTGGTTTTTCCCCAAGTTTTTCTCCGATTTTTAAAAATTTTTCCCCCATTTTTTCCCCAGATTTTTCCCCAGTTTTTCCTGGTGTTTTCCCCTGTTTTTCCCTGCACTTCCTCTTTTTTTCCCAGAATTTTCCCCTGGATTCCCTGGGCTTTTTCCCAGTTTTCCCATCACCTGCTCGATCATCTGGCGGACTTTGCGCTGCTGGCTCTTGAGCATGTCGTCCAGGTGATGGATTTTCTCCCGGAGCGCCGCCACCTCCTTCTCCAGCTGGGATGAGCTGAGAAAATACCAGGAAAAATCTCCAGGAATGCCTCCAAAAAAACTGAGAATGCCCACATCAAAAAAAACCAAAAAACCTGGAATTCCTACTCCCGAAACAGCCTCGGGATGGTCACATCCAAAAAAAAAATGGGAGCGTTCAGCTAAAAAAAATGGGATTGCTCACAGAAAAAAAACTTGGGAATAAAAAACACAAAAAAAAAAAAAAAAGGGAATGTTCACCAAAAAAAAACTGGGAAAGTTCACAGCAAAACAACTCTGGAATTCCCACTCAAAAAAAAAAAAAAGGGAATGCCCACCTGCAAAACAAAAGCCTGGGAATGTCCACCACAAAAAAAACCAGGAATGCTCACCCAAAAAAATACCTGGGAATGCCCATCCCAAAAAAATGTGGGAATGTCCATCCCCCCAAAAAACTGTGAATGCCCATCCCAAAAATCCATTGTATATTGGGAAGGAGTCCGGATCCCAGGAATTGGGCATTCCTGGGATTTTCTCATTGCCAGCATTCCCATCCCAGGATTCCCCCGTTCCCAGAATTCCCATTCCCAGATTCCCCATTCCCAGATTCCCCATTCCCAGATTCCCCATTCCTAGAATTCCCATTCCCAGATTCCCCATTCCCAGATTCCCCATTCCCAGAATTCCCATTCCCAGATTCCCCATTCCCAGAATTCCCATTCCCAGATTCCCATTCCCAGATTCCCCATTCCCAGAATTCCCATTCCCAGATTCCCCGTTCCCAGAATTCCCATTCCCAGATTCCCATTCCCAGATTCCCCCGTTCCCAGAATTCCCATTCCCAGAATTCCCATTCCCAGAATTCCCATTCCCAGATTCCCATTCCCAGATTCCCCATTCCCAGATTCCCATTCCCAGATTCCCCATTCCCAGAATTCCCATTCCCAGATTCCCATTCCCAGAATTCCCATTCCCAGATTCCCCGTTCCCAGATTCCCCATTCCCAGATTCCCATTCCCAGATTCCCCGTTCCCAGATTCCCCATTCCCAGATTCCCATTCCCAGATTCCCCGTTCCCAGATTCCCCATTCCCAGAATTCCCATTCCCAGATTCCCCATTCCCAGAATTCCCATTCCCAGAATTCCCATTCCCAGATTCCCATTCCCAGATTCCCATTCCCAGATTCCCCGTTCCTAGATTCCCCATTCCCAGATTCCCCATTCCCAGAATTCCCATTCCCAGAATTCCCATTCCCAGAATTCCCATTCCCAGATTCCCCGTTCCCAGAATTCCCATTCCCAGAATTCCCGTTCCCAGAATTCCCATTCCCAGATTCCCCGTTCCCAGAATTCCCATTCCCAGATTCCCATTCCCAGATTCCCCATTCCCAGAATTCCCATTCCCAGATTCCCCATTCCCAGATTCCCCGTTCCCAGAATTCCCATTCCCAGATTCCCATTCCCAGATTCCCCATTCCCAGAATTCCCGTTCCCAGATTCCCCATTCCCAGATTCCCCATTCCCAGATTCCCGTTCCCAGAATTCCCATTCCCAGATTCCCCATTCCCAGAATTCCCATTCCCAGATTCCCATTCCCAGATTCCCATTCCCAGATTCCCCATTCCCCCCCCCCCCATTCCCAGAATTCCCATTCCCAGCCCCCCCATTCCCAGAATTCCCATTCCCAGATTCCCNTTCCCATTCCCAGATTCCCCATTCCCAGATTCCCCATTCCCAGAATTCCCATTCCCAGATTCCCCATTCCCAGAATTCCCATTCCCAGATTCCCACCGCTCCTGCTGTGCCGCTCTCTCCCCTCCCTCCTTCCGGAGCCGCTCCAGCTCCGCCTGTCCCGACTCCATCTGCGCCAGCAGATCCCGGTGATCCTGCGGATTGGGAATGGGAAAATGGGATCCAGGAGTGGGATCCGGGAATGGGATCCAGGAATGGGATAATGGGATAAGGGAATGGGATACAGGAATGGGATAGTGGGATAAGGGAATGGGATCTGGGAATGGGATCTGGGAATGGGATCCGGGAATGGAATAGTGGGATACAGGAATGGGACAATAGGATATGGGATTGGGATCCAGGAATGGGATCCAGGAATGGGATAGTGGGATACAGGAATGGGACAATGGGATATGGGATTGGGATCCAGGAATGGGATCCAGGAATGGGATAGTGGGATACAGGAATGGGACAATGGGATACGGGATTGGGATCCAGGAATGGGATCCAGGAATGGGATCCAGGAATGGGATAGTGGAATAAGGGAATGGGACAATAGGATATGGGATTGGGATCCAGGAATGGGATCCAGGAATGGGATAGTGGAATAAGGGAATGGGATCTGGGAATGGGATCCGGGAATGGGATAGTGGGATAAGGGAATGGGATCCGGGAATGGGATAGTGGAATAAGGGAATGGGATCCAGGAATGGGATGATGGGATACAAGAATGGGATAATGGGATAAGGGAATGGGATAATGGGATAAAGGAATGGGATCCAGGAATGGGATAATGGGATACGGGATTGGGATCCAGGGATGGGATAATGGGATAAAGGAATGGGATAATGGGATAAAGGAATGGGATAGTGGGATCCAGGGATTGGGATCCAGGGATGGGATAGTGGGATAAAGGAATGGGATAATGGGATCCAGGAATGGGATCCAGGGATGGGATAATGGGATAAAGGAATGGGATAATGGGATCCAGGGATGGGATAATGGGATAAAGGAATGGGATAATGGGATAAAGGAATGGGATCCAGGGATGGGATAATGGGATCCAGGAATGGGATCCAGGGATGGGATAATGGGATAAAGGAATGGGATAATGGGATCCAGGGATGGGATAGTGGGATACGGGATTGGGATCCAGGGATGGGATAATGGGATACGGGATTGGGATCCAGGGATGGGATAGTGGGAT